CATATACTTTTATTTCTCTTGGGTAAATACCTAGGAGTGGGATTTCTGAGCTTATGGGAAATCTATCCTTAATTGTTTAAAGCACTGGTAGAGTGCTTTCCAAAGAACCTGTAAAATTTTACACCCACCAGTAGAGTATGTGGCTTCCAGTTTGCCCTTGTAAATCTTTGTCTTTTTCCTCCTTTTTTAAAAAATATTTTTAAATTATTTTTATTTTATGTGTGTGAGTATATTGCCTGCATGTATATGAGTGTATCCATGTCATGCAATGCCTTGGAGGTCAGAAGAGGGTGTCGGATTCCCCTGGAACTGTAGTTGTAAGGACGGTTTGTAGCTGCCGTGTGGGTGCTAGGAATTGAACCCGGGTCCTCTGCAAGAGCAGCCAGTGCTCTTAACCACTGAGCCAGCTCTCCAGGCCCATCTTTGTCTTTTTCATTATAGCTATTGTTCTTGGAAGGTATGAAGTGGTTATCTCACTGTGGTTTTGATTTGTGTTTTCTTTGGAGAGATAGCTATTCTGATCTCTTTTCCATTTAAAGCCCTTGAGTTACCTCTTTTCTGATTTTTATTTTTTGAAGCAAGGTCTTACTCTGCAGCCCAGGCTGGTTCCAAACTCATGATCCTCCTGCTTCACCCTCCTGAGTGCTGGGATGACAGGTGTGTCAACCACGCCTGGCTTGTCTATTATCGATTTACAAGACTTCTTCATATATTCTAGCTACATATCTCTTTTACATGATTTACAGGTTCTACTGTTACTTTGTGGTATACTGAATAAACTGACCTCTTCTGTTCTGTGCAGAGGTGAATTCTTCCACCAACCCCAGCACTCTGTGCTCTCCTTGCCATCTTCTACATCTTAAAGTGCATCATTTATTTACCCTTCATAAATGTGAAGTTAGAAAAAAAGATGTAGATATCTATAGATTTATACTTTTTCCCATTCTCTAGTTGTCTTTTTGCCTTCTTATTTATTGATTGATTTTTATTTTTACATGTGTGTTTTGCCTGCATATATGTAAGTGCACCATGTGTGTGCAGTGCCTACGGAGGTTAGAAGAAGGCGTGAGATCTACATATCCTCAGCCACCACGTGAGTGCTGGGTACTGAACCCAGGTCCTGGGCAAGAGCAGTCAGTGCTCTTAATCACTATTTCTCCAGCCCCCTTTTTACCTTATTAATATCCTTCGCTCCACAAAAGTTTTCAATTTTTTTGTTGTGTTTTGAGACAAGGTCTCACCATGTAGAACAGGCAGGTCTGAAACTCAGACTCCTCCTGTTTCAGCGTCCTGAGCACTGGTAATAAAATCATGCCTGGTTCCAATTTTTAATTGTGATGGAGTCTAATTCATCTATTCTTTGTGTCTTGTACATTTATTGCTATATCTAAGAATTCACTGTCAAGTCTGAGGTAATAATGATGTCCTCCTGTGATTTCTTCTCAGGGTTTTATGGTTTGGACTCATATTTATTTTGGGTCTTTGGTCCTTTTTTGAGTAACGTATGTGCTTATGGTTGCATCTGGCTATTAAGTTGTCCCTCTGTCATTTGTTTATCCTTTCTTATTGAATGACCTTGTTGAAAGTCACTGACCATAGACACAGAACTCCTGTAGCAATTTTTTGTGTATATGTGCATGTGTATGTATATGTTCATGTGTGTGTGTGTCCATATGTGTGTACATGCATGTGGAGGACAGGGGCCAACAGTGAGGAGTGTCTTTCTTAATTGTTCTCCACCTTCAAAAATTTTAAAAATTGCATTTGTGGTTGCATGTGTGTGTGTGTGTGTGTGTGTGTGTGTGCATGCCACAGTGCATGTGTGAAGGTCAGAGGATAACTTGCAGGAGTCAGTTCTTTCCTTCTACCATATGGGTCTCAAGGATCAAACTCAAGTTGTCAGGCTTGTAAGCAACTACCTTTACCCAGTGAACCATTTGCTGGCCCTCTCTACCCTTTTTTATTTTCTTTTTGACAGGGTCTCACTATCTAACCCAGCTGTCCTGGAACTTGCTGTGTAGACCTGGCCAAACTGGCCTCTGCCTCCTAAGTTTTGGGATCAAAGGTGTACACCACCACGCCTGGCTTCTACCTTATTTTATTATTTATTATTTATTATTTATTATTGGTCTTTTTGAGACTGGGTCTCCCTGTAGACCAGGCTAGCCTTGATCTCACAGAGATCTGCCTTTCTCTGCCTCCCAAGTGCTGGGATTAAAAGGTATACCACCATGCCCTTCTACCTCTGTTTCCTTCCTTCCTTCCTTCCTTCCTTCCTTCCTTCCTTCCTTCCTTCCTTCCTTCCTCCCTCCCCCTTCCTCCCTCTCTCCCTCCCTCTCTCCCCCCTCTCTTTCTTTCTTTCTTTCTTTCTTTCTTTCTTTCTTTCTTTCTTTCTTTCTTTCTTTCTTTCTTTCTTTCTTTTTCTTTCTTTCGTCTTTTTGAGACAAGGGTCCCAGCTGGCCTGGAACTCACTATGTAGATCAGGCTGGCCTTGAACTCATAGAGATCCACCTGTCTCTGTCTTCTGAGTGCTGGGACTAATCTCCTGAGTGCACGCCTGGCTATCTTGATTTTTGTTGCTTTGTTATAAGTTTTGAAATCTGGAAGTGTGAGCATTCCAATTTTGATCCTCCTTTTCAAGACTGTTTTGACTAGTATGGATTCTTTGCAATTCTATATGGATTTTAGAATACATTTGTTAATTTTTATGAAGAAACATCTGAGATTCTGATGGAGGTGTGTTGAATCTATAGATCAGTTGGGACGTATTTTCACATACAATGTTAAGTTTTCCAATCTGTGAATGTGAGGTACTTTGTTCTTTGTTTAGAATTTTTTATACTAGTTACATTTCTCTTTAGATGGAAGTTCATACTTTCCTGGGAACCCACCTATTTCATCTAAAGGACCCAATGGGTATGTGCTTTCCCTTCACTCTTTCCTGTGTAATCCATTCTCCACAGGGTGATTAGAGTGATGCTTTTTAAAAAATGCAAATCTTGGACCCGAGATGGCTCAGAGGGTAAAGGCAGTTGCTGCACAAGCCTGGTGGCCTAAGTTTGATCCCCAGAACCTAGGTAAGGTGAAGGAGAGAACTGACTCCACAAAACTGTCCTCTGACCTCCACACGCACTGGATGCTCTTTTGCCCACATACACATCATCATCATCATCAACACATACACACAATAATAAAAGAATAAATAAAATACAAATCCAATCCAGATATACCTCTGATGTCAACTGTTGCCTGGCTGATCTTAGTAAAGACCCAAGTCCTTAACCTGCTTTTAAGGCTCAGGCTGGCCTGGCCTCTGTCACAACCGTCACAGAGGAATGTTCTCCCTTTGTTCCCGCCACACACACATATTCTTTGATACTGAGCACACCACTGATCACTGGGGCTGTTTCCTCTGACAGAATCTCTTTCCACAGGGAACTTCTACTTCTCCTCTCTGGCCCAAATTAAATGTCACTTTAGTTGGAAAACTTTCCCTGATCCCTACTCCCCTCACCCTCTTACAGCATTGATCAATCACCTCTGTACTCTAGTGTGTTTACATGGCTACCTCCTGTCATGAGCATCCTTGTTTACATATTAGTCCACATTTGAAACAACTCTTCTCCTTTAGTTTTTTGAGACAGGTCTTCACCTAGCTCAGACTGGCCTCCAACTCAACCAGGTAGCCAAGGATGACCTTGAGTTTCTGATTCTCCTCATCTACCTCCCCAGTGCTGAGATTACAAGCCATGTGTCACCATGCTCAGTTTATACAATGCCGGGGATTGAACCCAGGGCTTTGTGCATGCTAGACTAGCACCCTGTCAATGGAGTCACATCCCCACCTTACACAGCTTTTGAATCTGGATCCTGTCCTTGCAGTGAATGTGGTTCTGAAGTTTCATTCTAGCACATCCTACCTCCCTATCCTACATAGCCTCCTGTTTACCATAGTTAACGTCTTCCTCTTGAATCCATCTCATGCTCCAACCATTCAAGTCTGTTCAGTACAGATCTGAATCTCCAACTTTCTTTGTTTGTATATTATACTATCAGTGACCCTTAGCACTTACTATGTACAGACCTAGTGCTATGAAATATCTCATTTAACACTAACAGCACTGAGGTAGCTCTAATTAACTCCATTTCTTAGAAGAGAAAAAAAAAAATAAACACAAGCTCAGAGATGCTAAGTGACTTGACCAAGGCCACACAGACAGTCTTGGTATGGTAAGGGATTGAGCACAGGTCCGTGGTTCTACGACCATAACGGCACACCATGTTATGCGTTTTTGGGTTTCATCTGATTCACTGAAAAAAATTCCATCTGTTTCTTAAGTACCATTGAGAAAGAAATCTGAGGATCATCATGAGCAATAAAAAGGTAAGCAAGCCACAGTCCTCACAGCACAGGTGGGGTGGGATTGACTTTCAGCTAGAAGAGCAAGAGACCAGGAGAGGAGCACCTCCTTGAATACGAATCCAGAGGAATTCTACTCCATCTGGCTGAGGTTGAGAGTGGCCTCTGCCTCCCTCCTTTCAGGCCAGTTAGCTGGGCAGGAAGATGGCTACCAGCTAGGGAAGGCTGCCTAGAAACAAAAGAAAAAGGATGAGGAAGAAACCAAGTCAAGCCACCATCTGTCTAATGCAGTGTCCCTTTGAGTGGAGCTGGGCTCTAGCCAGTCCTGGCATGGATTGTGTTTGGACAGAGCAATGAATCTGAGGCTGGAGACTACCCAGAGACATAAGGAGACCTTCTGGTGAGAAGGCTGGGAGCAGGGAGGGGACCAGGGGAAACTGTAATATGATTGGGAGGAGGTGGGGGGCTGCTGGTGTATGTGACCAATAGGTCCTCCAGAATACCCCTACCCCTGCCAAAAGGCGGGGCCTTAGGCAGTGCACACAGGGACAGAGACTTCTCAGAAGTCCAGTTTCCACTTTTGGGATTAACTCTCCACACCCTGGATCGGCCATCCATAAAAGGTAGGCACACTCATGGGAGCTGCTCAGAGTATTTATTTTTTCTGAGTACAAGCAGGAAGTTGGGGTAGCTAAACGGGGTGTTAACAGCATGCATGATGGCTTGGGTGGAGGATCTGAAGAAGAGTTTGGATGTGGGGAGCAGCAGAATGGGGAGCACATATGGGAGGGAGCTAAGTTCGAGAGATGCAAAGGGTAGCCAGGAGAGCAGCTGCCAAGATTGGGGACCCTGCTCCCCTCAGCCACGCTTACTGGATCCCCTCTTGTTTCCCTTAAGTCAGAAGAATTTCTCCAGGCAGCTTGGGTCGGAGGTTAGAAGGGCCAGAAGTCACAGCGTGAAGAGTATGCTCTGACTAGCAGAGCCAGATTCTAGCAGGAGGGTAGTTCAGGCCTCCTCGGCTGTCGCGTCGATGCCTGCGTAGGTGAAGTTCTCAAACAGCGACATGTTCACGTAGGCCTGGGGACAAAGCAAGTTTTAGCAGGAGGCCAGAGATGGGGATGCATAGGGCCTCAGGCTCTTTGACTTGGGACCTTTGAACAGATGCTGATTTATGTTGGAGACTCACAATGGCCCTATGGCCAAGAGTGGGCTTTACTAGCCCAGAGCAGTGGGGGTATCAGATCTCAGAGGGAGTCCCAGGCCTTATGCACAGTTGTTAGATGGCAGCTTTTTCATGTACCCATCCGGTAGCTGCTCTCATTCGTTCTTCCGGAAGGTTATGTTGAAGATTCACTCATTTATATGGTTATCTGATCAGGTTTTCTCCCTTCCGTCCCTTCCCCTTTTCCTTCTCTTCCTGTTTGTTTGTTTTTGAGACAGCGTCTCTAACTCAGGTTGTCATTTAACTCAATATGGAACAAAAATGACCTTGAATTTGAACTTCCAATCCTGCCTCCACCTCCTGAGTGCTAAGATTACAGGTATGTGTTACCATGTCCTCTTTATGTGGTGCTGGGGCTTAAACCCAGAGCCTTTGTATGTGCTAGGCAAGCACTCAACCAAGGAGCCACATCCCCAGCCCTTATCTGTTTGTCAGTTAGGTTTATTTGTTTGTTTGTTTATTTATTTATTTATTTATTGTCTTTTTGAGACAGGGTCTCCCTGTAGCCTTAGACCAGGCTGGCCTTGAACTCACAGAGATCTTCCTGCTTCTGTCTCCTGTGCTTGGACTAAAGGTGGGTGCCACCACACCCAGCTTATTTATTTATTTATTTATTTATTTATTTATTTATTTATTTATTTATTTATTTATTTATTTATTTATTATGTGTAGGAGTCTTTTGCCTGCATGTATGTAAGTGCATCCACGCATGCAATGCCCACAGAGGCCAGAAGAGGGTGTCGGATCCCCCTGGACCTGGAGTTACAGATGGTTGTTAGCTGCCATGTGGGTACTGGAACTGAACCTGGGTCCTCTGCAAGAGCAGTCAGTGCTCTTAACTGCTGAGCCATCTTTCCAATCTCTGTTTTTGAGATAAGGTCTCACTGTGTAGAATAGACTGGCCTGAAACTCAGAGATTTGCTTGCCTCTACCTCCTGAGTGCTGAGATTAAAGACATGTGCCACCATGCCCAGTCATTACTCATCCATTCTTGGTGACAATTCATGCATTTGCTGTGACTCTGGGCCAAGTGAGGAAGTAGGGGGGGTGTCCCAGGACAGAATGGGTTGATGGCCTCAGTGGAAGAGGGCAGGTAACCAGTCTGGAACTTGGCGGGGTCGGGGCGGGGGGAGCTTGCTATTGGGACTGAGCAGCAACAATCCTGGAAAAGTATATATGGACCTACTATCTAACCCTGCATGGGCTGCATCCTAGGCCCAATCCAGCTGTGGTGACAGCTCCAATTGAGGGAGTTTGGGCGGCAGTATGGTGAGGACAGAGAACCCGGAAGCCTCATATCTGGTATCGATGAGATGGCACTCCTGTGAGCTTAAAGAGTGCCCATCCCTACCTTGTTCAGCCCCTCACCTTCCTGGCTTCTAGCATTCGGCCCAACTGCAGTGCGATCTGGGCAAAAGGGGGGCGCTCGTAGGGACGGTCCCGCCAGCACTGCCGCATCAGCTCGTACCTATAGATGGGAATGGGGGTATTGCAAGGTGCAGGTCACAGGCTCAAAGTTGAGCTGAGGTCCTAGGGCTCAAGGGGGGACTCACACTTCATCGTCACAGTTTCGAGGCTGCTCCATGCGATAGCCCTGAGGCAGCTTCTCGTAGAGCTCAGCACAGGTCATGCCACAATAGGGGGTGCCTCCTGCAGTGGGGGACAAGGCTCCCTCAGTGAAGGGCCCCAGGGGTAAAGTGAGATGCTCTGGAGAACTGGGTGGGGCTTACCAAGGCTCACTATCTCCCAGAGAAGGACCCCAAAGGACCAGCTGAAAAGAGAAGGAAACATTTAATTATCTTGTGGGGGACACAGAGTTTAATCTTAGCTACTGAGCCCCTGAACCCTGGGTTCAACTAATCATAGTAACATTGTGTGTGTGTGTGTGTGTGTGTGTGTGTGTGTGTGTGTGGCTATGTGGAGTCCAAAGGTTGGTGCTGGGAGACAGTGTCTGTCACTGAACTCAGTGTATGCTGATTCAGCTGCCCTAGCTGACCAGCAAGCCCCGGGGATCCTCCTGTCTCTCCCTAGTGCTGGGATTACAGGTAAATGCTGCAGTCCTACCTTTTTTGATTTAAAAATGTGGGTGTTGGGAATTGGAACTCAGGTCTTTATGCTTACATAACAGGCACTTTACCAACTGAGCCGTCTCCCCAGCCCCTATAGTTAAAATGGTTTCTTTTTGTGGTGTTTTTTTGTTTGTTTGTCTGTTTTTGAGAGAGGGTCTCCCTATGTAGCCCCAGCTGACCTGGAACTTGCTATGTAGACCACGCTGGCCTCAATCTCACAGAGATTTACCTGTCTCTGCTTCCTGAGTGCTGAAATTGAAGGCATGCACCCACCAGGGCTGGCTCAGTTAACATAGTTTAATTGACATTTTTATTACGCACTTACTATGACCAGAACACTAATTATTTAATACACATGTCAAGTATCTAACTCTCATAGCATCCCTATGATTCAGGCTTTATTATCCCTATTTTACAGATGAAGACACTGAGGCCTGAAAGGATAGCTATCTTGCCAAGGTCACATAACTAAGCATAGGTATTTAAATCCTGTCTCAAAGACCCTGCCTGTTCTTAATCTCATCTTGTACTGTAAGCTCTGTTCAGGTACATTTCAGGCCTAAAGCAATCCAGGGAGTTCGAGTAAGGGGAGGACTCTAGGGAGTCTTGGAGCAGAAGTGGGAAGTGGGCAGGTGGTGGTCAGAGGGGCAGTCAATAAGAAGAGCAGGCCAGGCCAAAGGGGCCAAGGCAGAGCAGCTCAGGAGACAGGGCTGAAAGGTGGCAGGTCAGGTTCAGACTGAGGCGACATCCCTGGAGATGAAGAAAAAATGTGTGCTAAGATGGTGTGTGTGTGTGTGTGTGTGTGTGTGTGTGTGTAGCACAGAGGAGTCTTAGGGGTCCTGTGCTAGTAAGAGCCTCAGGTGGCCATGACCTTGCCCTTCAGACAGGAAGGTGGACATGCTCCTTGAGTGTTCTCACCAGCTACTTTAGTGGCCCACAGCTTTCCTAGAATTCATGGAAGCCCTTGGTCTCTTACACAAAGAAAGCCCTAAACTTCTCCTACCCCAGTCCTACCCCTGAAGTGCTTTCCAAGACAAAAACCCTTCCAGGTAGCCCCCCAACTTCCCTCTAAGATGCCAGAAGCTTCTAACAGCATTCTCAGGACATGCTGCTGCACACCTGGATCCTATCTCGCTATGCCCAAGACATGCCTTAGATGACCTGAGAGATGGGCTGAGATGTGTCTTGGTTATGCTTGAGTGACCTTGAAGGGGCCGAGCCCTGCAGCCTCTTCCCACTCCCCACACTCACACATCACTCTTGGTGGTGTAGACACTGTAGTTGAGAGACTCGATGGCCATCCAACGCACAGGGAGACGGCCCTGTGAGAGAAAGGGTCAGAGGGCCAGGGGTGGAGGAGGGGGTTGTTTGAAGGCTCTGAAGGACAGGACTGGGAATGGGCCCTAAGAAGGGAAAGCTGAATGAGACTTGCCATCGTCTTCTTCACGTACACCTCCTCGCCCCGAGAAAGGCCAAAGTCTGCGATCTTGGAGGCCAGGTTCTCTCCAACCAGCACATTCCGAGCAGCCAGGTCCCTGTGGATGAACTGCAGGAAGATCAGAAGTCAGGGAGGAGAGGGAGCCCAGGAGCATGGGGACACAGGGCCAGTAGGAGCCCCTACTTCTTCCCACCCACATAGGCCTCAATTATGCACCAGCTGGCACCTGTCTGAAAAAAGCTAGTGTTGGTTCCCAACCACTTTTCCCGTGACTTGGACCACAGCCAAGTTCAGACTGAGCCCCTCTGCCTCAGACAAGGGTAAGCACAATTATCCCTTTCTTTTTTCTCTCTCTACCCTCTTTCTCTCTTTTTAAAAAATTTGCTTACTGAATTTTTGTGTATTTCATACAGAATATCTCAAACAATCTTTAGACTCCCATCCCCACCGGCACCCTCCCTTAGTCCCCCCACTGGAACCCATATATTCTGTCATCCATGTTAAGGCCTACTGTGTCATGTCAGTGTCCCCAGATGTTCCCCAGTCCATCCACTGAGGTCCAGTCAGCCTATCTAGAGTCCCTTGTTTTAGGAAGATCAGGTCTTTCTCACCTAGCAGGTGAGGAAATGGATCTCACTATGTAGTTTTGGCTGGCCTGGTACTTATCATGTAGCTCAGACTGGCCTTGAACTCTTGATCCTCCTGCCTCTGCCTCCTAAGCACTGGGATTATAGGCACAACCTTATCTTTTCCTCTTCAATGCTCTCTCTCCCATTTCTCCCACTCTCTTGTCCTCCCTTATGGATGAATGTCCTCAAGTGACCTTCTCCCTGAGTTCCAGGTCCTCCCCTTGGCCCTCCACCCTCCTCAGACATTTCTATCAGCTTCTCCCTGATGCACCTTTTCTTTCAAAGACTCAAAAATTTCCTGCATGTAAAATGCCTTCCTTCAGCTTGGAGTCCCCACTCAGCCGTTCCCTCCCTCTTCTCATTCAGATGAGGGTATTAAGACTTGGGCTGGGCTCTACCAGGCACTCTCTCCAGCAGAGCTCCACCTCCTCCCTGCTGGAGGGGATGCTCAAGTGGCAGCTCTCACACTGTCTCCAGGCCTGGTCTCTCGAGGATTGGGTTGGCATCTACAACTGCCCACTCAGCACCTCCAGCAGGATGTCCCTCAGAGACTTCAAACCCAACACCGTCTCCCCACCTGCCTCCTTGTCCTCTTCTTGCTCCTCATTGCATTTAAGTCGCTGGTCGCCAGAGTTAGGAACCAGGGTCTAGTCTTTCCTTCTTACTGTCCCTCAACTCCGCACCCAATTAGAGACTCGGTGATTTGACCACCTGAGGTCTGCCCGGTGGCTTTCCCTCTTCCTGTTGCCCACTGCACTCACACACACCTGCTTCTCACTCAAGTATTGCATGCCGTTGGCAGCATCGCTGGCAAAACGCAGCAGCTGCCGGGAACTGAGGGTGGAGGCCGTTCCGTGCTCTCTGGCAAATGCTGGGTCAGTCTCCAGGACCCGGCTCTTTCGCAGGAAATCAAGCAGGTTCCCATAGGGGGCATATTCGATAGCAATATACAAATAACCTGGGAGGTGAGGAAACACAGGTGGTGGTTTAGGTACTGGCCGTGTGTGGTATGAGCAGGTACCCAATGGAAAGAGACAGGGCGACTGCAGCATTCTGAGAGTCAAGGACTCTACATGCAGAGGACTTAGAGCTCCCCACAGGCACTGATGTTGTAGAGGTGATGGCTGACGATGAGGGTCTGGAAGCGGTAAGTGATCAGTTAGGGGCTCACCTCGATTCTCACAGGCCCCTAAGAGGTTGATGATATTGGGGTGGTGTCCCAATTTGCACAGCACTTCTAGTTCTCCTGCAAAGTCACGATGGTCATTTTCAGACGCGTACTCTATGGAAAGAATTCAGTGTCATTTTTGCAATATATACCTCTGGAGAAAGGGCTTGAGCTAGTGAGGGCTGGGATCAGTTGCTGGCAGAAGCCAGGCAGGGCCTAGTGTCTGTGGGATAAAGGAAGAAGGTCAGGCTGAGATCAAGGGTCACAACCAGGGACCTTTTAGCATCTTAATGGCTGCATTCATCTTGAGCCCATCCTTCTTGATCATGGCACGGATGACTTGGCCGAAGTTCCCCTCTCCGATGAGGTCCTCAAAGGTGATGTCCTCCCACTCCAGTACAGGGTAATTCAGGGGCTCTGGCTGTGGTTTTGGCCGTCGGGTCAGTGTCAAGGTCCCTGAGCTGAACTGCAGGATGGTCTCCTCGCCCTTCACAGGATGGGTCAAATGGGCAGCCAGTCCACGCAAGGCATGTGGGGGCAAAAGGAGGAACAGAGGCATATAGACAGAGGGGCCAGTGATTAGACAGGTAGATAGAGTGAGCTAGAGGACACTCAGGTGGCTATCCTGGGTCACACCTACAGAGACATATGCTGCACAGAATGACAAGTGATAGAGCCACAGGTGAGTTGATGGGTAGACACGTCTAAGAAGACAAATGCAGAGGGTGCAGCCTGGTGGTCTACTGTGTGGGATTCACTGCAAGGCAGAGTCAAGGCTTGTGGGTAAGTTGGATAGGTCAATGGGTGAAAAATATTCTAACATTTTAAACAGGAAAGAATTGGAATGAGCTGTCATGGGCAGGAGTGAGCTCCCAATTATTGTGCCAACCCCACAATTAGGCCTTATTTATTTATGCCACCAGGGATGCTCTGGAGAGAATCCCCACTTGGGTGAGTTTATTGAGTATTTATTACAGCCTAAGCCCCAAACTGCTAGGAGCCAATGAGGGAATTTCTTCTTCACAGTAACAGAAGCAGAGATGATCCCTGCCCACCTACTTGGTATCTAGCCATAGTTCTAACCCTAGGCCAGGACTCAAAGACAGCAAAATCCTGAGAGGAATGTCCAGTTCCTTCTACTGAGCAGAGGTCCATCTGGCCAGGGATGATGGAAAGAAAGGGGAGGAAATGAACAGGACCAAAGATATCTGCAACACGAGACCTAGAGGCAAGATCCACATGAACCCTGCAGTGGGCTCCCTAAGTGAACTGATGGCTAAGTGCCGGGGACACATGGATTCACACAAAGCATGGCAGCGAGGCATACATTAGAGTGCACATGCATGCATTCTGTGGCTGGCTGTGTCACATGCAGGTGCATCCACACAGAGGTACACATTCACATGAGGACTTGGAGGTGTGTAGGCACGGGGACACATGTAGCAGGGATACATGCAGTGCACATCTGCACTGGTGCATGGCACACACATGAGCATGCATAGCTATATGCAGACACATGGAGTGTGTGTGTGTGTGTATAAAATCATGTGTATAGTAGAGGCAACTTCCTCACTTCCCTGCCTCAGTATCTGGCCCTGTTACCCTCCCCCTGCCTCCCACAGCAGCGATGGCTCTGTGTGCACTGACCTCAGAGGCAGGGACAACACAGCTCAGACAAAGAAGTCAATTGAATCTCTGGACTCTGGATGGGATTTTTAAAGTACAGCAGACACCAGCCTTGAACACTGGGCTTTGTATCACAAGGGCTAGCCCTTGAAGAAGAAGAGTGTTTTTTCTTCCTTTCTTTTTTTAAAAAAATTTTTTAAATGCCAAAGCTTAGTTCTAAATATCAAGAGCCCAGGCCTGAAGGGCCAAGGCCAGAGTTCTAATTCTAAGTGACAACAATGGAAGTTCTCAGACAGAGGACCAATGGGATGGGTGGATGTGACAAGGTCAGTCTGAGTTTCTGAAGAGGTGCCAGTATCCTTTCCCTTCGCACATATGTATATGGGCTCTAAGAGGACCAAAGCCTAGGGAGGTTTGAGGGTGAGTCTAGAAGAGTGGGCGTGTGCCTCTTCTCAGGGAGTGCAAGTGAGGCTGCAGGCCTGACAGACTTCTAGAGGGTCAAAACCAACTATCGGAAAAATGTGGCCAGTGTTACTGCCCTTCACAGGGTATAGGCAAGCACAAGAAAACAGAGTTTCCCAGAGGAGGTCCTGGGACTTGCAAGAATAGAGGCTGGGATGAGAGTTCACAGCCTGAGTAGCCTGCCAGCAAGCAGGAAGACCACAGTAAGCCTGAGGACATCAACCACAGATGTGCACAGACAGAGGCTGGCTCCCATGCTGGGGAAAGCCTGCAAGGACAGAGGCCAGCATGGGCCCTAGTTACCCAGCGGGGAGGTGAAGAGCGGGGAGGACAATCCCAAATTGCCCATGTCCAAGCATGGAATGGGACTTGATAAAATACAGACAAAACTGAGTTCTTTCTACCTGGGAATGCTAATTATTTCACCATTAATATAAATGGGCTCATGAGTATTGGTGAATGTAATCTCATGCTTGTAGCATGAACACATGTACATATGGATGTGGGCAGAAACACACAGTAGACCGTCTGGTGTACCCAGTGGGTATGAGGCACTGACCGATCCTGATTGGTAGGTGAAGGTGCGTCTCCGGTGCAAGCAGCTTCTGCGGATGCATACCAGGGCTAAGAGGGCAGCCAGGATGGTGAGGCAGGTGGCAGAAACAGAGCCCACCACAGCTAGGACCAGCTGCTGATCCAAGCCCTCTTCAGCTGCCCGGCTCTCTTGGACAGGGCCCTCGCTCTGCAGCCCTGGACACAATAAGGGGCAGATTGTGGAGACTACTGGGTCATGGATCCCACAGGCCACCATGGGGGCTCACAGAGGAAAAGGTTGGAGATCCTGGTACTAGGATCACAGGTGACTAGGATTCAGGGTTCACAGGGCGGGGGGAGGGGGAAGGGGAGAGCAACATGATCCCTGTACCACTACAATTTTGACATGGGAAAAGTCAAAGCTTGTGTTACTTGTTGAGAGGGTCTGGGATGCCCTAGCTCCAACGTTGGGGGTAAGGTGGAAGGAACACATGCAAAGTCCCATCTCCTAGGCCCCACTCTCTCACCATTGCCTAGTGTGGTCTCTTCTACGATGTTGCTCCAGTCGCCAAGACCCTGCACACTGGCCCGCACACGGAAGAGGTAGCGAGTGCTGGCATTGAGGCCTTGAATGATGGTGCTTGTCTCCTCTGGCCTATCCACATCCATCCACAGTGGGTCTCCTGAGCCCCCGGCCACCTGAATCTCCACAATGTACTTGGATATAGGTCCGGATGGAGCTTCAGGTCGCTGCCATGTCAACTGGACCTCAGAGTCCGAGAGGGCCTGGGCATGGAGGTGCCGAGGGGCTGGAGGCCCTGGGAAGATGAGAGAAGGGAGGAAGGGATCGACTGGATCAGGTTATGTAGCTGTGGGACCAGACACATTCACTCTAAATGCCCTCTGCTCTGTGGACCCCAGCACGGGAGCCACCTGCAGCCTCCTCCTGTTCCCTGGCTTGGGCTGGATTTCTCTCCATCCCTAGGCCACCTATGCCTCCAAGATGCTTCATCCCTTGCTCTACCTTTATCCCAAGTCCTCCCCTTGTCCCCTATAGTTTGTGTTCCCCAAGCCCCTCGTGACCCTGTTCTCCACCTGACCCATAATCTCCTCATGCATTTCCATCCCATGTACTCCTGGTGACCTACATCCTGATGTCTTCTGTTTTCCCCATGTTCCACATCCTCCCTGAGCCTGAGATGTGTCCTGGGCTTTTTGTCCATCCAGTCTCCTGTAACCTCCCGAGTTTCTTGGACCGTATGTGTTTCTTATGTCCCCTGTCCTCCCCTCATTGCCAGTCTGTCACCCTCACCCTGAGCCTACCGCTATTGGGCAGAAGCACGTGTGCAGGGGGCGAAGCAGGGCCCAGGAGAGTGCAGTGGTACAGCCGCACATCCAGCTGGTAGTGGGTGCCAGGTGTGAGTCCAGTCAGGAGGGCAGTGCGGGCCTGGGGGGACGAGACATTCTCCCGCCGCTCCTGCCCCCGTGCCCCATCCCATAAGCGCAGCAGGAAACCATCGCCCAACAGTGGTACCGAGGGTAAGGACCAGCTCACTCGCAGCCTGTCAGGGCCCTCTGCATGCCAGCCCTCTATCCATGGCTGCAACAAGGGTTCTGTGGCCAGAGGTCAGGGGTCAGAACTGGCCAAATGGGTCCCTGTGACTGGATGGGGCAATGATCCCCCCCATGGGCAGGGTTGGGACAACCTCCAGTGGCAAAGGCAGGGCTCTCTGGGGTGGACAAGGCATACTTTGTGTGGGCATGGCAGTGACCCATGAGGGTAGAGGAAAGGATGACTCTTGGCTTCTCACCAGGACAGTCGGTGGTCATGAGGGCAGGAGGCCCCCAGGTCCCTTCTCCACCTTCCCCTGGCCGACTCAGCTGCACACGGACACTATATCCTGTCTTTGGCCTCAAGTTCATCAGTGTCACATTCTCACTGGGGTCCACTGGGGGTGAGATGTGTTGCACACATCATTTAGTCACAACCACTTTCTAAAGCCACCATTCTCCCTTCAGCCCACTCTTCTCTTTGTATCGTCCCCTCTCTGTTCGCACCTCATCCCCCAGCTCTGTCCCTACTCACCCACAATAGCAGACCAGGCAATTGTGCTATCCTGGGGCCGGTAGTGCAGGCGGACAGAGGAGATGGGTCCATCCCCAGAGAAGGAGACCAGTGGGGAGACCACAAGCTGGCGGCTCTGCTTGGCCAGGAGCCGAGGAGCAGATTCAGGTACTGGGGGCACTGCCAGGAAAGTGGGGTGAGTCAGGGCCCAGGACCCACCTATCCTCAGGAAGAGGGTCACACTGGGCTTGAGCAGTGAACACCTCCAGATCTTAGTTTGGATCTGGAGGCCATCTGGATGTGTGGGAAGAGACCAAGTTCAACAGATGACTAGGGTGGCCAGGGCCCAGGGAAGACAGAGTTCTGATCCCTGGATAGCTTGGGCCCCAGGGACTCAGCCAAAAAGACATAGGTATCTCAAAAGATGTCAGATGACAATGTGACATGGCCATACAGAGTGTCCATGAGATGTGGAGTAGACAGGGACTGGAAGGCAAAACAGGGCATGTGTTCTCAGCCCTCATCATTCACTGCTCAGTTAACATTCTATTTTCAGACAAAGGTGCCAGTGATGAAACACCTGTTCCACCCTGATGCTTCTTATGCATGGCTTCCAATTCATGAATGAAGAAACAGGCTCAGAGGCACTGAATACCTTGTGTAAGGACACACAGCCAGGAGAATTAGAACTGGCCACCTCATTGATCAGCTGCCTCAAATCAAACAGTTCTACCCCAGAACAGTGTTTGTGTTCCTGTCCAGCTTCCTCCACCGCCACCGTTCTTCAGGCCTCAGTTTTTCTCTCTATATTATCACATTAATGCCTCAATAGGTTCCTGAGCCCCTTCCAAATGTGACCAGGCTGACTTTCTCAGAAGGTTAAAAGAAAGGGAGAGAGGGAGGGAGGTAGATAGGCAGGCCAAGGAGTGTGGAGGAGATGGGTGGTAAGCTGGTAGAGCACTAAGCAGCAACAGCACAGCAGGAGCAGGTGCAGATCTGGGGCAGTTAGTAAGGATTCAGTTTGGATCCTAAGGATCCCAATGCCTGTGGCTGACGAAGAGGACAAGATGTCTAGGAGGTGGCTGGTATAAAATGGGTCCCGGAATCACATCTAGTTAACTTCCATACTGACTTCAGGATTGGGCCTCCATAGATGATGCCCTACCTCATGGAGGTCCACCAAACAGGTCTGGCCTCAGGAGAGGGGTCCTGATTGCAGAACACATGTGTTGCTGCCAGAGAATGTCGTCATTTTAAATAACAATTGTCAAAAGAACCAAACTAAACAACAAAAACAACTGGGAAACTCTGTCTTAAAAAAAGCCAACCAACCAACAAAACAAAGTAACAAACGAATTGTCTACTGCATTGAACATCCACTATGCCAGGCACTATGCTTACTGCTTAAATGCATTATCTACTTTAGTCTTCCCTATACCACAAGCACTAATGTCCTTGTTTCACACAGAGAAAAACCCAGAGAGGTTAGGTAACTTGCTTAAGGTGACAGAATTGCAGAGAGTGGGTGTCAATCGAGGTCGAATGGAGATCTGAGTCCAAAGTCTGGGATGGAAGAAGAGAATGTGGGCCTTCATGGATCGGGGATAATTGGGAAGCAGAATGTGGCAGTGGAAAAGAGGAGAGAGAGGAAGGGAAAAAGGGAGGAAGCGAGAGAGGGAAAGCAAGAGGGGTGGGGAGAGGGAGAGGAGGAAGGGAAGAGACATCGGAGGTGAAGAGGAAGGTGGGGCCTGGGGTGGTGGGTAGCCCAGGCTTATGGTGCTGGGAGAGTACCTAGCCCAGGGAGGGGTGCTCTGCTGTCTTCTCAGAGTGACCTTGAGCCTTGGTAGTTCCCTTCCTATTCACCCAGGAGCCTTCTATACCCTCTCTGGGAAACCAAGTCGGTCACCCTTGATTTCCACAGTCCCTGCATTCTCCTGTGTCTCAGAAACAGGGAGCAGCATCTCAGAGGTAGAGCTAAAGAAATAGTGGGTGCACTGGGGAGGGGCACATGAATAGGCAAGAGACAGGGTGAGGCTAGAGGGTGTCCCAAGTTTCTGGGCTATGGGCCATTCTTTCTAGTTGGGACTACATTGTGCACCAGCATTAACAATGAAGACTCTAGACTCCTGGTTGTTTACCAGCTGTCTTCTTTGTCTGGTGCTGGTCTATACCCTTCAAGACCCCTATCCTTCCTGCTAGGCTCTCCAACCTGAGTAGCATCAGGTAGTGCCTACTCTGCTCACGATCCATCTTCCACAGTCCAAGGACATCACTAACCTTTGACATTGACCTTGAAGCGTCGGCTGTCTTGGCCACCAGATGTGGATACACGGCATTCCCAGAACCCGTTGTCCCCATGAGTCAAATGGGGTACCTCAAACTCAGCTGTGGTCCTGTCTGGCTCCACGATGGCCTTAGTAGACTAAGAGAAATAAGAGAAGGGGACAGTCGACAGAGTGGACACTCCATGAAGTAGATACATGAGTCAGTACAGGCTGTTGGTAGAATGGGAAGGGCTAGTGGCATCCTCTCACCAGTAAGCCTACCCCATTTGAGTCACGGCCAAGCCAGTGGGCAGAGCCAATAGCAAGTTTTGAGGGAAACAGGGCCCAAGAAGCTGTGAAGCTGGTGAGATGAGGGAGGAAGCAGTAGGTTGGGGTGATTGAGGCTGACCAGGAGCATGGTGCCATCTGGTTTTCGGAGCTCCATGCTGCCCCGTACTGGAAAGGGGTTCCCTGCAGCTGCACAGTTGATCCGGGGCATCGTCCCTAAATTGAACTCCAGCTCTGAGACCATGTTGAGGATCTGTGGGATCCGGTCTGCGGAAAGAGAGGATGCTCATCTTGAACTTTCCTGAGGCAGTCACATGACCACCAAAGTACCCCACCCCCCAACCCCATACTCTGCATCTCAGTGCCCACCATCTGTCCTGCTCCCCAAGGCTGAAACCAGCAAGGTTCCGCATGGCTCCTCCAGATCCCGGTGCCTCACATCTGGTCAGCTGCAGGGTTCACCTTCCCCATTACTCCCAATATACTTCCTAGGATCCCGTAAGACCCACAGGCAGATCTTTCACCATCCCCTCAGCCAAAATAGTTCAGGCTTCATTTTATTTATTTATTTTTTAAATTTTATTTAGTACAGAAAAAAGATTACAGGTTTAGGATCCCTAATCTGAAAATCCCAAATCTGAAATGTCCCTAAATCTGAAATTATTTTAAGTGTGAACATGATGCCATACTTTGGAAATTCTGTACTTGACCACATGATGGGTTGCAGTCAAAACAGAAGCACATAGCACAGTGTATTCAGCAGCCCAAGGAAAAAAGACTCTCTCAGGCTCTTCAGCTATGATACACAAACCTTTATTTCCTGCGCTAATATTTTTTTTATGTGTATGCTTGTATTGCTTGAATGTAGGTAAGTGCACCCGTGTCGTGGAATGCCCTCGGAGGTCAGAAGAGGCTGTCAGATCCCCTGGAACTGGAGTTAAAGACAGTTGTTAGCTGTCATATGGGTTCTGGGATTCGAACCTGGGTCTTTTGCAAGAACAACCAGTGTTCTTAACCGCTGAGCCATCTCTCCAGCCCCTATTTATTTATTTTTGAGACAAGGTCTCACATAGTAACTCAGGCTGGCCTTGAACTCCAGGTAATTCTCTTGCCTTAGCCTCCTGAGTGCCGAGATTACAGGTATGAACTACCTTACCTGGCAACTCATTCATTTTTGGTTCCTGGCTTCTGTACTCCACCCAGAATGAGAGCTCCTTTCCCCAACCCGAGTATGGCTATCTCTTCAACAATTCCCATTTGCCTCTGTCACATTAACTACCTGTATTCAAAGGCCCCCTGACTTGCTCTTTTCTGGCCACTCCCCTAGTCTCCTGCTTCACTATCCTGGCTCACACACAAGCCAAGTCTCAATCCCTGGGCTTTTCCTAATCATTTCTCTTTCCCAATTGTCTCTCTTTTGTTTTCCACATCCAATTTCAGATCTCACCTCCTCTCAGAAGCCTTCCCTGACTCTCACATGGGTCAGGGTCTTCTGGAGAGCCTCTGCACCCTGGGCTGCTACTCTTCACCGTGTTTTTCTTTTTGAGACAGGGTCTCCCTGTAGCCCCAGCTGGCCTGGAACTCACTATGTACAATAGGGTGGCCTTGAACTCACAGAGATCTACCTGCCTCTGCCTCCAGAGTGCTGGGATTAAAGGCGTGCGCCACCGCGTGCGCCACCATATCCCACCCTTCATAGTATTTGTGACTGCTTGGTCATAACTACCACCTCTACAAACTCCTCAAGGGCAAGACTTGGGGCATCACCAGGGGAAGGAGGAACAGAGAGATGTGTCTGATGGAAACTGACATGTCTTGAGGGGTCTCAGAGACCCAGGGGCACATACCAGACTTCTCACAGTGCACTCCATGCCATCCAGAGGGGCAGACACAGCCGCTGAACCGGTCACAAGTGCCACCATTCTGACACTGGCACTGGAGGCGACAATCAGCCCCAAAATGACCAGGGGCACAGGCTGTGAATAGAGGAGGTATGGTTACAAAGGATGGACTGGGTGCCGGGAGGGCCTAGATGTATAGTGTACATAGGCTTGTGTAAAGGAGATGGGGTCTGAGTGAAGGGTCTGGCCAACACTGCATCCATAGAGGGCAGCTAAGTCCATACCTTCTTGGCACTGGCTTCCCCTCCAGCCAGATCCGCAGGAACAGCCATAGGGATCTGGGAGGCAGAAGGTGAGACCCCGACAGCCTGCCATGCCTGGACACTGTTCCTGGCAACTCTGCCCAAAACGGCCCTCTCTGCAGGCTGAAAAGAAGGTGTGGGGGTATATGGACTCTACTGTGTACCATGGTTCAGGACTTAGCAGTCAGCCTCACACTCCAAGCGCCATACCCACAGTTCCAGGATCTTCTCCCCAGTCAGGCATCCTCTCCTGCCTGTGTCCCAGCTCTCCTTACCTTGCTCACAGCGGGTACCGGTGAATCCTGGGGGGCACACGCACTCGCCATCGTGGTCATGGCAGACACCTCCATGCAGGCAGCCTGGGCAATCCTTGCTACACTCTGGTCCCCAGCGTCCAGCCCCACAGCCTGTGGGAAAGTGCTTTCAGCAGCTGACTTCCCCCACTTGCCCAGAGCTGCTGAGGACTGGAGTAGCTCTGGGGATCTCAGGGATCCTGAGACCCAAAGGAAATAGACATAGGGCTTACAGCCTCCCATACCACCCATGACCTCTACCCTCTGTTCCTGACCCCGCACGATGAGCCGAAAGAAGGCGCTGCCCAGGGGACTGGCTTCTAGGTAGGTGGCACTGTAGATGCCGCTTGATGGTGGCTGTACATTTGGGAGCTGCAGTTGGAACCGCCCATCCCGGGCCTCTTGCCAGTCCAGGGTATGGAAGTAGGATCCTGGGGGACACAATCAGGTCTGGGGTTTCAGTATCATATGAAGGTTGGTGTTACCTCCCTCTCTGCCTATGTCACACCAATGTTTATCATGCTCAGTGATCAGACCTGGGGACAGGTACCCATGAGATGCTAGTAGCTAAGCCAGGAAGTTGGAGAGCCTTCTTTTCTTCAGGTCCTGTGAGTCACTGAGTCCATCCTCTTCGTTCCACTTCAGTGCACTTCTCATGCCTGCTGCTACCATTCTGGCTCTGCCCCATAGCCTCTTACAGGAACTCTCTGCCTCCATCCTGGCCCTATACACCCATGCTTCATTGAGCAACTAGTGGGATTCTTCTATACACACCCACGTCTTAGACTCTCAGAGCTCTATACCGCCTTGGGACAAAACCTAACCGTGCAGCAGTTGTTTTCAGCAATTTGGTCCCAGCTAGGCCCTCCTGCCCCATACCTCCGAACATTCCTAAATTCCTTACTGTTTGTTTACTTTCTAAAACAACTGGCATTTCAGCCTTTGCTCCGGTCAGTCCCGCCTCCTGGAATGCCCTTTCTCTGGCTCTTTTGTCTTTCTGGGCTCTCTCAAGCCTCATCCTCCAGGACCTCCACTCCCTCACAGGCTAGACTCACCCCCAGGGCTGTTGGGCACATACAGGACCCAAGTCAACTCTTCGAGCCCTGCCTGGACTCCTCCTGATCTCTCCTCAGCACTCTAAAGAGTCTCTAGAGATACAAGTCTCCCTCCTACTACCAAATCTCCTGTCAGTTCAGGGCCCCTGGAGCTCAGAAAAAGCCCTGAGCCAAGAGAAAGGTTCTCCCTCAGGAGCCAAGAATGCAAGTCAGCTAATAGATTGTGGGCCTGAGGCAGGCATTCTGGGGCCTAATAGAAAAAAAGAGTCTTTTCATAAAGTGGATACCGTCAGGGTGGTGAGCAGGCACCAGGCTGCGATCCAGGTCTGTGTGAACTTCAACAAGCATCTACTTTTTCAACAAGGATCTGAGCTTGGTAAGTTTTGGGGAGAGCCATAAGCCCATGGGTGTCTGAATACAGGAGAGTGCCCCAGGAGTTAGAGATGTGATGGATTTGGGCACATCCCATGAACCTCACCAAGACCAGGAAAGACCCTGGAGGTTGGTCAGGAGGATGTCAGGTACATCAGGGTGATGGGCTGAGGCTACTGAGGGCAACTGGGCGGGGTGCTGGGTGGGGTGTTAGAACATGGCTCTACCTGTCCAACCAAATGCCCCTCTCACCGTTGTTCTTCCAGATCACATCCGTCTGCTTCTCCTTGTGCACACGTGCAGAAAGCACAGCTGTGTCACCTTTATTCACCGTGTGTGTGACCTTGTCTGGAAGCAGGTGGGCTGTGGGTGGAGGGTGAGATCAGTAGTGATCCAGGGCAGCGGCCGTCCCTGCCACCCTGCCTCCTCACAGGCTAGACTCACCCCCAGGGCTGTTGTGTACATAGAGCACCCGAGTACGCCGTGTGCCCGCGCCGCCCACGCAGGAGAAAACGCCCACCAGATCCGAGGGCTTGGAGAAGCCGCGCAGCGTGACCTGGTGCGAGCCGTTGCGTGCCAGGTGCAGGGGCTGCCCCGGCGGCAAGGTGCGCACGATGCGGTCGTCCTTCTCCAGCAGCAGGGGCGGTCCCCAGGCATCTGAGCCTCTTCCCACCCCGGCCTCCCCCGACACGCAGGTCAGGAAGAAACGCTGGGGGTCGGTGAGGCGGAGGTTGGCCAGAAGCGTCAGGTCCACCGCCGCACCTGGGACCGGACATCTGTGACTCTTTGGTAGCCCCAGCCACCAGAAGCCACCCCTGCACCCCAGTCCTCTGGTGTTACTGTTCCACCATGCCCTCTGAAGACACTTCAAGTTATGAAGTATTACCACCCCATTCTTTCCCCTTCCACACAGGTTTGCCCTTTGCCCTCAAGTCTCTTCATCCTAAAACACAAACAAAACCACACGTCCTTCTCTTGCTCTGGCCAGATGTTTCCCTTTACTGGGAAGGAGCTATGCACCTGGCTCCTCTCTGAAACTGCCACCAAGGCTATATCCCTAGGCCACTTGTCCCTGGCCCACCATGGAGAGGTAGGCTAGAAGAGTCAGGGAGACTGGAGTGTCCAGAGTGTCCTTGTTGCTTTAGCAATTGAGAAAAATTGACTGGCTGGGATTGAAGACGAGCTGAGAGGGCGCTGCTAGCCAAACCTGGCTCAGAGACACAGGGCAGGCCAAGGGTCCGGAAGGCTGCAGACACAGGTGGGGCTAAGTCTTTGCTCTCTAAAGAGCTTAGTGCCCTGGAAAGGTGGCGGGCTAGACATGGACTAGATGTAGGTGGGAGAGGGAACAGAGAGGGTCACCCAACCCAGCATAGGGGAAGTGACATGGGGTGGGGAGGTACTTCTTCAGAGGGACACAGGCTTTTAAAGCTTAGGCAGGATGCCATGGGTGAGGAGGACCAGGAGGATAGAGGTCAGGGGGGAGGGTCAGAGGCCGTACTAAATGGGAACAACTTGGGTAATGCCATGGTGTGAGGAGGGGGAGCATCACAGTTTACTGTAACTGGAACATAAAATCTGTAGCCAAAAGCCAGTGAAACCAAGTAGGTCCTGAGCTCAGTCTAGACAGGGGAGAGCCTGGCTAGCCTGCTTTAGTTCTATGACCCCCACACCTTCCAAGGCCCCTCCTTTCCTGCCTGCTAACTATTAAGTAATTAATTAATTTAAATGCTACTTAGCTTAACAGTTAATATTCTTTGAAAGCCTTCAATAAGTAATTGAAGCTGGCATTTACTGTCTGCCTCACAGGTACCAAGTGCCCTTTCTCCATGGCATCCTTGTGGCCTCTAGTAAAGTTGATATTCTTTGCATATACAAAAGAGGCAGAAATAATCATCCTAAAGGGTCCCTTGAGCAAGCTCATCATCTTATTTGGCTTTAACTGTCATTTCTGAGTCAGTAACTCTGGTGTGGCCTTTAAACTCCAAATGAATTTCTACCAGCGCTTCCTAAACCTGTTCCTCTCCCATGTTCCCTGACTCAGAGGACAACACCCATCACCTGAGACTGCAGAGTCATCTCCTATTCCCTGGTGTCATAATAATGAATGTTTATTGGATGCCAATTATGCATCGGGCACTTTACTGATGTCTCTTAACTTTCTCATTCTAACTCTCCTAGGAGGTGGGTGTTACTATCTCAATTTTATAGCCAGGGAACAAAGGCTCAGATTTAGTAACTTACCCAAGGTCATACGGTTAGTAGATAGCAGAGCCAGACTGTCCTAGTATAATTTCCACACCATTTAGCTTCATGTTGGCTGCCCCAATTAGTCACAAACTGTTTCCTAAACATCTACATCTTCCAACCATCTACATCTTCCACGTGACCTTTGTCCAACCTTACTCACTTAGACCGTCCCAGAAGGCACAACTCATTCTCCAAAGTGATGCAACCAAAATCAAAACTACTCTGTGACTCTCACCTCCCATGACTCCTCATTTCCCTCAGGATAATGAGTATGCTCCTGAGCCCCTTGCTGCTCACACTCTGCCCCTCCCACACTCTGCTTTCCCTCCAGAAACCTCTGGCATGCACTTCCATGCCTCTGAGATTTGCAATGATTGCTACTCTTCTTACTGAAACCTTTTTTGACTGTTTTTCTGTCCATTCCTGGAGGAAGAGTAAGCTGGCCCTCCCTCCTCAGTGCTCCTCTGGAGCTCCACATTTCTGTCTTTGGTTAGCCCCCATCTCCTGGCCTGTGCTCCCCACTAGACCATGAACCACTCAAAGGCAGCTTTTGACTTCTAGTCCTCTGATCAGATTGAAAAAATTTGCTGCCTCTTGTTCAGAAACCTCTCCAAGCCCTCTGTAAACAACAACCAGGGAAGGTCAGCATGGCTGACTCTTCACTTTGTAGTGGCCAGCCCCTCGGCTAATGGAATATTGTTGGTACTAAATAAATGTTTGTCCCTGAGTAATTGAAAAAGCCCAACACAGTGACTCCGGGCGTCCAAGTCAATGGCTGTCCCCTCCCACCCCCAGACCTGGACTGTAGTGATTTCAAGCACCTGCCTGAGTTTTCCCCGCCCTGACCTTTTTTTAAATGGATCAAAATCATGGTGATGATGACAATTTCTACTTTTTTCTCCTCAATTTTTTTATGTTAAAATATATACAACCTAGAATTTACCATTATAACTATTTGTAACCATTCAATTTAGTGTTATTAAATGCATTCATAATATTGTACAAACATCGAATCCGTCCATTTCCACACTCTTTTTGTTTGTTTTTGACACAGCTTTGTAGCTATGTGGCTAGCGTGGAGTTCATCACGTAGTGTAGGTAGGCCTCCCAAGTGATAGGATTACAGGAGTGTACCACCACACCCAGCTCCATAACTCCTTTCATGTAGTCAAACTGGAACTCCATACCCATTAAACAACAACTCTCTATTCCCCTCCCCCAGCCCATGGGACTACCATTCTGTTATCTATCTAGGATATGACGGTTTCTTGGGGGGAAAATTGGAAACTTGAGGCTCGGAAATCGGGTGGGGGACTTAGGGAAGACTTACCAATATGAGAAGCCAAGAAGAGCACAGGGAGCAGGAAAGGGGGCCCCGGCCAGACCATACTCCAGAGGCTGACCCAGGCCAGCCAGGGCCAGCTGGGCCTAGAGTCAGTTGTTATGGGTCTGAGTGCTCAGCCTGTGTGGCTCAGTGCGCCTCAGTGCTGGGGAGGAAGAGGAAATGAGATGGTTGGGTGGGAGGGGTGGCAGGAGAGAGGGATTGGGAAAGGCTTGTCCTGCTTCCCAGCCTGTAGCCCTCCCAAGTCCAGCCCCCACAAGGCTTGCGGATAGGTGCACCCTGGAAGGTCCTGGAAGTGCACCACTTGAGGTGAGGGGGGCAGGGTTATGACAAGGACAGACCTGGGATGGTTGGACTGACTTCTCCCATCCCCTCTCCCTTCAGTCCTGCCTTGCTGGAGCACAGAAGGCAGGAAAGGGAGGAAGCCAGTGGCTTCCGCCTATTGAGGAGGTCTGGAGGCAGGGCATTGTTCTGGGGTCTCCCCTCCTCCCAACACATACACACACAATGTGGCCCACATGACCCCTTACGCATGTGCTCCAGGACACAGTTACCCGGGATCCTGGAGAGCAGTTCACAGGAACACAAGCATGTATACACTCAAAAGAACAGAGGGCTCAGGACCATGAAGAACTTTCCAGTTGATCTTGCGTGCCTTTCTCATTTTACAGATGGGAAAACAGGGGGCCTGCAGGGCTCAGGGCACCCTGAGGCTGTGACAAGGCTAAGACTTAAACTTCTGGCATGGTCATTGGTTCCTCAGTGCTGGTTGCTCCACAAGGACACATGAAGCACCCAGGGAGCACACAGGCAATGGATTGTAGCATACGCCACTCCCACTTGAGCTCCTGAGCTTCCCTAGGCAGTGGGGGAGCAGAAGATACAGCTACTTTTTTTTTTTTTTTTTGCTTAAGACAGAGCCTTGTTATGCAGTTTAAGTTAGCATGGAACTCACCGTATATCCCAGGGTGGCCTCAATCTCATGATCTTCCTCTTTTGGTCTCCTGAGTGCTGGGATTACAGGCATGAGCCAACATACTGGACTTAGATACATTCACTCTTTTCTTTTAAAATTAATTCATTTTATTTTATTTGTGTATGTGTGTGTGTATGCGCATGTGCCATGCTGCATGTATAGAGAGGTCAGAGGACAACTTATGGGAGTCAGTTCTACTGTTCTCCATGTGGAAATCGGAGGACAACTTTTGAGGTCTTTCCTTCTACCATGTGAGCCTAGGGAATCAAACTCATGTTGTCATGCTTGGTGGCAAGTGCCTTTACCCGCTGAGCCATCTCGCCAGGTCACATAATCTATCATCCACTCTTTTTTCAACAGGGTCTCATACGTAGCCCCAGCTGGCCTGGAACTTGCTATGTAGACCATCCCAAACTGGTGTCAACCTCACAGCCATCTACCTTCCAAGTGCTGGGGCTAGAGGCAGTTGTGCCACCATGCCCTGCTCTTCACATCCACTCATAGGTTGACCACATTTGGGAGCCGTTCCAGCCCCTTAGTCCAGCTTCCAAATTCCCATTTGCGCTTCTCAGATCTGTCTCAGCATATTTCCAGTTCCCAGATAGAACGTGACCTGCAGGTACAGCACACCCACAGGGAGGGCCTTCCGTGGAGCAGGAGAAGCCACCAGGTCTTCTGGACACGCTGGTTAAATCTGTGTCCCCTCTACCCCTAACTTTGAATGAGGCTGAGACCTGGTACCAGCCCAAGTGACTCGAAAATAAACCGTTTGTCTGCAGCTAGGATTGTTTTTGAGTCAGATCAAGTGAAGGCCATATTCTTCTCTGGATCTAGCAGGCTCAAAACCATGTTCCTGGGGAAGTTGTGTCCCTGGGAGTTTGGTTTATCTGGGTTAGGTCCTTCTTTTGAAGGTGTCTGAAAATCTTGGATTTGTTTTGACTCCTAGAGTGTCTTGAAAAAGGATTGAGGAAGGCATCATTAGCTCTTTCTAGGTCTGAGGCTGGAAGAAACTTTTCTGGGTACACTGTGGGTGGGAATAGAGGAATGTGGTTGATGCCGTAAACTCCAGCCCATCTTGGTACCTTTGAATCTGGGATAAGAAAGGAGCCGGAACACACGTGTGCATGTGTGTGTGTGTGTGTGTGTGTGTGTGTGTGTGTGTATTTGTCTGGCAGGATGTAGGCTGACTATGCTATTATACTGTGGAACTTGCCCTTGGTTCTGGGGAAATTTGGTGGTCCTGATGTCACTGTGGAGATGTATGGAGAACACTGTGTTCTTGAAAATGACACAGATATAGGCACAGGTGCCTCCTCTGAGTGGGGAAGTTTGAGGCATTGTGACCTTGGCATTGTGACTCTGGGCCTTTCTCATTTTCAGCTGGAGACAAAGGAAACACAGTAATAATGGTCTGTAGATGACAAAAGGTAAATTTCTCAGAGTTTGTACACAAGAATTTGTATTATAAAACAATGTCCTATAAGTGTAAAAGTATTTTTACATATGTTGAAAGTAATTTAAATGCCACCAGTTTACAAACAGCAAGTGCTAGATGAAATATCACTGCACAAACAAATGTTGAGTGGGCTGTGACTGCATCTGCTGTTATAAGAGGAATACTGAAACTATAATGCATAGCTTGAATTTTCAGCCTCTGGAAAATTAGAGACCAAAAATTATGTGATTGCAAATACACAGCTCTGCATATTGTCAGGTTAACTGCACAAGGTAAGCAAACAACAGCTAAACTAAAGCAAGGATAGGGCAGTGATCAACTCTGCATCAGGCTGATAATTCACTGCCAATGAAACTGTCCTTTCTCAAACAGTGGAAATTCTAGCTATGGGCACAGAGACTCATGTAGGCCCTTTGCTGGCTTGCGGGGGTCCAGGCCAGCCTGGCTTCCTGGGAGAACACTGAGGTGGTTTTAGTAAGCTTGCCTTGCAGGGACGAGGTCTTCCTTGAGGAGTTTGTTTCTGTAATCTCTGGAAGAGGTGCTCCTCTTCTGCCAAGAATCGAGCATGGGTTGGCAGCCTGAATGAGAAGTGGGTCTTAACAGAGATGACAGAGTATATGGGCTCCAGTGGAGGGGGATGGGGAGCTATGGGAGGGTGCCAGTGGGGATGGGGGTATAAAGATGATTAAGATTGTTTGAAGTGTTCTGTATGAACTACACAAAAAATTCAATTTTTTTTTTTTTAAGAAAAGAGTGGACATTTTCCAGTTAAAGACAAATGGTGTAAATATTCCTGGTGATTTTGAGCTGGTTATGTAGGCTGGGAAGGTCATAATACCAGAGGGAGGGTGGAAGCCTGGACTTGGAAACATTTGTCCTGGAGAAGAACAGGACTTCGTAAAGGGGGAAGCAAGGAACATTCCTCAAGGTTGAAGCTAGGAAAAAGAACTGAACACAGATACTCAGTTTATATCAACCATGTTGTGGTCCCACCATGCACTTCAAATAGACACTTTCTGCCACATATCACCTCCTGTGTGAATTCTTTATTTTTATTTTATTTTATTTGTGTGTGTGTGTGCATGTGTGGTATATGTGCATGTGTGTGTACATACTTGTCTGCACACAAACATTAGGTGTCCTGCTCTATCACTCTCTACCTTACTGAGATGGGGGTCTCACTGAGCCTAAAGCTAGGCTGGTGGCCAGCAAGCCCCAGCAGTCCTCTGTCTTTCTCACAGTGCTAGGGTTTCAGGCACGTGTGTATGCAGCCACACTGGGCTTATTTGGGTATTTGGGCACTGAGAATTTGAACTCAGGTTCCTCATTCTTGCACAGCAAGTGCTCTCTAGCCCTCTTGAGAGAAATTTTTAAAAATATTTTATTATTTTTATTTTATGTGTATGTGCGTATTGCCTGCATATAAGTAAGTGCACCCATGTTGTACAATGCCCTCAGAGGACAGAAGAGGCTGTCGGAGCCCGTGGAACTGGAGTTAGGACAGTTGTTAGCTGCCATGTGGGTGCTGGGATTTGAACCTGGGTCTTCTGCAAGAACAGTCAGTGTTCTTAACCGCTGAGCCATCTCTCCAGCCCCGAGGCAGGGTCTTCTTGTAGGTCCAGCAGGCCTGGAACACGCTATACAGATCAGGCTGGCCTCAGTCTTACAAAGATCTTCCTATCTCTGCCTCCTGGGTGCTGAGATTAAAGTGTGCATAACCACGCTGAGCTTGAGGGAAAATTTTTTAAAGCAGAGTGAATGTAAATATATTAAGGGAAAATGAAGAACTCCTGAAAGAGGGAGGGGCAAAAAGGAGGGTTTTTGTGTGAATTCTTAAACATCTGGTCTGGTCTTCCCAGTTCTGCTGGTCACGCATTAGAATGCTGCAGCAAGGCCAAATCTTTACAGAATTTTCTTAGGTCTTATTCTTAGTCCTCTGTTTATAAGTTCTCAGACTGATGCAAGGACACAGATCACATTTTGAAAAGTACTGGTGTAGGGGGGTAACAGGCAGAGGGCTGAGGGGATTGATGACTGAAGTCACAGTTGAGGTCTGAATCTGTTTTTGGAAAGTTCTAGCATGTCTATTGTTATTTTGTGAAAGTGTCTACGGTGTAGCAGGGGAAGTGGCAAGGAGTGAGGATGCAGGAGATGAAGTCCAGCAGGTGTTTGGAGGAGTGCATTTTATCTTTACATAAATAGATAGGGCACAGAATGAAGGGACTCTGCCCTGACCATTTTCAGCAGGCCTTCCTGACTCCTGTACCATCTGCACCGGTGTCTGTAACAACACATCAAGACTCTTAAACTAAGTTGGATGTGGTGGTGCACAACTTTAATCCCAGATATCCAGAGGCAGAAGCAGGTGGATCTCTGTGAGTTCAAGGTCAGCCTAGTCTACATAGTGAGTTCCAAGCCAGCCAGGGCTATATAGTGAGACCTTGTCTCAACAAACACACAAACAAACAAACAAACAAACACTTTCAAACTATCTCAAGATGGATTTCAAGCTTTCTTCAGGTGGCAATGGGAAGGATAGGCATTCTCTGAAATGTTAAAGTGGTAGTTTGGGTTTCCTTTGTTAGGTGTGTCTTACTGGACCCTGGAGCACTTAGAAGGCCCCAGACCAGGGGAGATCTACTGTATGCTTGTTTATTTGGGGCTGGGACTATTTTTCTCCATGTTAGACCACCCTCATCTATTGCTTCTACCCTCCTCCTTCCTCAGTGACTGGGGCATGGGGAGATTGAGGAAACAGAATTGAAGACTGTGCTGGGCACGGGCAGGAGG